ATCTATATATATATATATATATATATATATATATACATAATGGACTCTCCCTTTTGAATTCGACATATGATGGTATTGAGTAAAATCAGTACTTAGAAATGACTAAGCCCTGACAGCGTCATATGAGATTTGATTGTAGAATTGAAAAATTGAGCAGAACCACCCAACTTTTGAAGGTCATGAAAACAGAGTTTTGTCTTTTGCTACGAGCCACAAGATCTGAAAACAACCCTCTTAGATTTTGAATATAGAACCCAGTCTGTCCTTGGTATTTACCATATCAAAATTGAAGGGAAGAATGAAGATTCATACCTTTCCTATGGGTATTAGCACGCAAGTGAATTAAAATGGATTCAATGAAATCAAAAGCTCTCCGATTCCTCAATCCATGCCACTATGCATTATGCTATATATATATATATATATATATATAATATATATACTTCTTTGCAAACCTCCTGAAGGATTGGACTGAACAATTACCAGGTTTGTCTATTAAATCTCGCAGATTGTGCTGAATAACCTCAAGTCTCTCTCTAAATTTGTAGTTATATATATATATATATATATATATATATATATATATATATATAGTCGGACACACTTGAGTAATTACTTCTGAGAGATGGGTTTTTTTAGTTGACATTATTTCTTATTACACTAAACGTTATTTTAAGAGGTCACATGCATTCGAGTTGCTATCTCTGTGTCTTTTTTTTTCTTAAAGAGTGAAAATAACGACAAACGGTTTAGCCAGATAGGTCCTACTAAAGAAAGATTGTTCCTTCAACAGGAACCGAACCTGTAAACCCTGTTCCTACATGCCCGACAGGAAAAACAATCCTCCTTTAATAAGTCTTCGGAATCTTCTGTTATAAATTTCAATGTTTAGTATTTTTTTTCTTAAAAAGAAAAGAATCTGAGATAGCAACTCAAATACATGTATTCAATAAAAATAAAGTTTATAGTAATAAAGAAATTAACAATTATATATATATATATATATATAAATTTATATATATATACACACACACACACACATATATAATATATGCATAGTAATGAGAAACATGTATATAAATATTTTTTAAATATGCACGTGCATATGTATACATGAGAACACGAAACATACAAACACATACAAACACACACAGAGAGACGCGCACACACACACACATATATAGATATATATTTATATATATATAAACACAAAAAATGATCTAATGATCGAATAGGCGTGAAACCACCACTCAGCATTCAGCCTATTTAAATTTTCATATTCACAGGGTCTTCATTTCACATTGTCTCCCAACACAGACACACACACACACACAGAACCATATATATATATATATATATATATATATATATATATATATATATATATATATATATATATATATATATATAACCAACAGACACTCAAAAGTCAAAAGGAAAAACCTGGTATTTTTTAAATTATACATGGTTTAAAAAAAACGTTTTTTTCATTATTAGAAATTTTATTATAACAAAAAGAAAAACAGCTTTTTATGATTAAATTTTGCTCTCGTCAAAATATTCTCCTTTAGCACTGCTTACTGCAGCACAATTTTTGCGACATTTCTTGCAAAAGTTTCTCAAGGTATAAGTTTGTTAATTGATCCCATTCTTTTCTCAATGACTTTGGGAGTTCTTTTTCATTTTTTTTTTTTTTGTTGTTTTCTTTTCTTTCTGTCAAGTTCCTTCCATGTCTAATTCTTGGCTTCAAAGTTTTGAACTGTAGTGTGTGTGTTTGTGTGTCTCCTTGTGTGTCTATATATATATATATATATATATATATATATATATATATATATATATATAAATATGTATTAAATGTATGTATACCAATTCCTCAATTTTGCGTCTGTCTTTGCTTTAAACAACCTGATAATCGCCTGATACAAACTGAGACCGTGTTAAATATTTTTTTGTATCATCATAGTTTTCGTTCTTTTTAAAATTTTCTTCGAATATTTTTTTTTTTTTTTTTCAATTCTTCCCTTGATCTCTTTTATAACCACATGTAATCTCTTTTTTAGTCATCCTTTGATCCAAAACATTTCTAATAATTTTTTTATGACTTGGCACATCTTTTTTATATTTCTTAATTATATACGTGTACATCTGGACACGTACGCATATACATCTTTACTTTCTAATTACACGCGGACACTTGAATTCGTTTATACCTTTCTTTCTTTCAACATCTTTCTTTAATAAAAAATAACCTACTGAAAATTTATATTTAACTAGAAAGACCCGTGAAAATTTCACAGTTTTCCGATTTTAATATTCTGATGAATCTTAATTCTTCAGTTAATGGTTGTGTCGGTTCATGGCGAGTTGCATTACTTTATCTTTTCACCTTTCGTCTCGATAAATATTTCTCTCCCCTCTTAACGACTTTAACAAAATATTGCAATAACAATTATACATATGAATTCTTGTCGTTATTTTCTTTTAAAGGGGTCCACAAATGAAAAGACTTGAAATTTATAAACGTTCCTTTTCACTTTTTTCCTCCTTTTTTTTTCTTTTTTTCTTTCTTTTTTATTAAACTTTTCACCGAACTCTTTAGTCGTTTCTTGATATGTGTTTTGTTTTAAAACGGAATCTCTCTTATTTATGAGGTATTAACAAAAGACGTTTAACACTTTCTATCTTCCCGTCTGTCTTTCTTTGTTTTCTTTCTTTCTTTCTTTCTTTATTTATTTATTTATTTATTTATGTATTTATTTTTCTAATCTTTTTTTTCTTTTTTTCTTTCTTTTTCTTTTTAATCTTTTCTTTTCGTTCTTTCTTTCACCGAAACCAAGTAGTGTCTTTTCCCCTCTTTCCACGCGATCAAAACGGAATAGTCCATTATTAATTAGGTATTGGCAGGACATAAAGGTCGTGCGAACAAACCAAGTGTAGGACAAGTGCAATTATAATAGGTTACTACTGTACTACTATTAGACAATCAGTACTTTAATTTAACCACATTCAAGGTTAAATTAAAGTACTGATTGTCTAATACGTATGAGTAAATATAAACTTACCAGATAGTTTAACTTTGAAAATAAACCTCCCCTATTTACATTTAACAAATCAATACACGCCGTACCAAAAATGGATTCATGTTTTATGTCCTTCAGGGCATGAGTGATCAAAATTTCCGATGTACTTTTGCTATATGACATAATCTCCGTTCTGCCAACCATTTACACAAGGACGTTAGGTATTTTTTTTGGTTTTATTTATTTATTTATTTTTTTACAGTTAGGGTCAATCTTTACAAGGCCCGGGGACCACTTGGAGTAGAGGATTACATTAGGAGATCATTTGTGTGTATAGGAGTAGAAGAAGTTGAGATTTTAATGATCGGGGTAACATCCTGTTGGGAGACGGTTCCACAGGGCAGTGGTTCGCAGGAAGAAGCTGCTTGAGTGAAACTTATTTCTCACAAATGGAATAAGGAAGGAATGTAAGAGGCAAGGCGTGTTCTTGTTATGGAAATTTGCCTAGGCGGGGCCAGAAGATTCCTTGCTTTTCTCTGTCCCTTTTTCCTTCAATATGTCCTGTAAGTGTTCAATTCTCAAAGCTCTCTTTCTTCATGTGCTCAAGAAATTTCAATTTCAATGTCTCTTTCTGCTTCTAAATATAAATATCCTTTTTGTTTCCATTTTTTCCAAAACTTCGTCGTTGCTTACTTGTTTTCACTTGATTCCTTCTGTATAGCCAAATTTCTGTTGCCTCAGGTCTCTTCTTCATCTGTGAGTAGATTGTCCAGCATTCACTGCCATATAGGTGGTCTGATATTGCATAACAGTTCAGTACACTTTTCTTTGTTTCTAAGGAAATTTTCCTGTTTCTTAATATTTACTTAGCTTTTGTAAAGCATCTTTCATTATTCTAATGTGTCTTCGGATCTCCGCGTCGCATTTTCCTAGATATGTAAATTTTTGAGATTGCTTACTTTTAATGTCACCAATTCGTACCGGATTTTAATAATTAATAACGGACTTTTAGAAAACATAGCCAATTTTAATTTTAATTTTCAATATTAATAGCGAATTTTATAGTCAAGATTAATTCGTTAATATCACATTATTATGGAATTTAGCTAGATGCAATAACCAAAACCTTTCTTAAAAACCCTTCCTATCCATTTACTTTCGGGTATAAACGAATTCAAGTGTCCGCTTTTAATTATGACTCATCCTGATGTATATGCGTACGTGTCCAGATGTACACGTATATAATTAAGTATCCGTACATAGGTAAGTATATAAGTGTAGATGTGCCAAGTCATAAAATTATTAGACACGTTTTGGATCGGGATGGGAAAGGGGGAGATTACATGTTGTTATACTGAGATCAATTTAAGTGTCTGTGTAAACATTATCCTACCAGAGCCCCCAGATTTGTATATAAACTTGCTCTATTTTCATTTAATATGGAGTTAGGCTAAGCACGAGTACTAGGTAAAAATAAGACTATAAAGTAACTGAACTATTTATATGTTAATCATTAATGTCCAACATCACAAAAAAGGGATTTTGTAGTTATAGACAGAGACCTATAATTATACTCCTTTTTATAAAACTGTAATTAATAACTGATTTTTTTTTAGAAATATATTAATTAATGCTGGAGTTTTATTTTCACTAGAATAATTAATAGTGAATATATTATGATGTTATGAAATATTATGACGTTAATATTACAGTGTTATGACGTTTGAAATATTATGATGTTATGAAATATTATGACGTTAATATTACAGTGTTATGCCGTTAATATTACAGTGTTATGACGTCATGAGATATTATGAAGTTATGAAATCTTATGATGTTAATATTACAGTGTTAATACGTTAATATTAGTGTTATGAGTTTATATTACAGTGTTATAATGTTATGAAATATTATGATGTTATAAAATATTATGATGTTATATTACAGTGTCATGGCGTTATGAAATATTATGACGTT